TGAGAGATTTCAAAGTAAATTTTGATTGATGGTATCCATGACAACAAAAAACAAACCTACAAAGTTTAAAAATGTAAACAAGCAGTACTGACTGTCAAATTAATTTTGATTTCACAATTCCATACAGCTGGTTCAAACATTTATTTAAAAACTGCATGAATATTAGAACAGAGAGGGTAAGGATCATATTTAAAATAATGATGTCACTATCCTGAATGTAAACATTATTTAACATTACTTAAATGGAGCTGTCAAACCATATGTTAATGTCATTTCATTATAATAGGATTCTTTCAGTTACATAATTTGTTTTTTTTTATAATCTACTAGCTGACCCGGCGAACTTCGTATCGCCTAAGTTATAGGTTTCCCCTAAGACAGACCGATGGAAAGAAAGTACCGTTACGTTTAATTTTCAAGATGATCTCGTTCGCATCGCTCAATCACGTCCTGGTTGAAGTTCGTTCGCTACGCTCACTCACCTTTGGGTTGGAGCTCGTTCGCTACGCTCACTCACCTTTAGGTTGGAGCTCGTTCGCTGCGCTCACTTGCCTTCAGGTTAGCTCGTTCGCTACGCTCACTCGCCTCCAGGTTGAAGTTCGTTCGCTACGCTCACTCACCTTTTGGTTGCAAATTAGCTGTTGTCATAAATGTAAAAGAAATAATAGTGCTGCACCCTGTTGGTAATCCTTGTAACTTTAATGCTATTGAACATCATAGAACAGAACCAACTTGTTTAATTGAAACAGCTGTTAAGATTCATTAATTCCATTTCTCATAAGGTTAACATGGGAAACTCCAGAGCCACTGGGGCGGAGCCCTTTTAAGAATTTCGAAACGGGAAATAGTTTACGTCCGATTCGCATACCTACAGAATTTACACACCAAATTTCATAACGATCGGTGAAGTCGTTCCGGAGGAGTTTGCAGACAAACACTGTGACACGAGAATTTTATATATTAGATTATCATTGACAGTTATTATACTGAGTCTGTTCTAATATTTGTGATATGCTGTAATAATATTTTACAGTGAATATTTCATTGAAAAAGAAATAGGCCTAATTCAGGGATAAAGGAAATAATTAAGATTCTACAATCATTGCTGTATCAACCAAGGCCCTTATCCTGAGTTGTATGAGAATTATGTTTTAGATTTATTTTTGTGTAAACAGTAATTTAATATCCCTGCTGCAGCAAACCTATAGACTAGCGAATTTCCATTTGCCTGATTGTCATTTTCATACAATATGTTAGAAAACTACACTACTGACAGGTTTGGAACTATTGTGATAGCTATTCGTTTACAGTCCAAACCATTAAACAGGTTCTTTTATTATACCTTAAAATATATCATTGGTTTTGTATCCTAGGTAGCCTAAATAAGTATTCACAGTATGAGTTAACAAAAAAGTACTAGACCTATTACTATTATCAAGTTAAAGAGGCTAATACAGTTCAATTTTGTTTTTAAAATAAATGGTAGGGAGTGAAACCATTTGGCATTTTCAAAGAACCAGCATTAACTCTTTGCATACTGACCCCATTGCAAGGCACGGGTATAGCTGCTAGCGAATACGAATAGCAGCGCTGGTTGCAGTAGCGCCAGTCAAATTTTTAAGTGACCGACGATACTAATTGGGACCGGCGGAATTGATTTTTTTAGTATCTTAACTTAGATCATGTAGATCATGTTTAGATCATGTACTACCACAAAATCTTCTTTCTACATCAATTGCAATTCCATAATACCCCCGCCGCAACACACCTGCAGCCTATTTTCAACTAAATCTAATTCAATAAAATTAGGTTTAACGAGTATCTAGCTACAGGGAGGGTTACGAAGTGTGATTTTAGGAAAATACTATAAGCTTAGTATAGAATAAATAAATTTGCCACATTTGATAAAAATATATCCAAAAGGAATTAAAGAATTTTGCCAGCTGTTTCAACTGCACAAGTTAGCTCTATGATATTAAATAGCTTTAACAGGATTTAAGGTTTACCTACAGGGTGCAGCACTATTATTTTTTTGCATTTATGACAACAGCTAATTTGAACCAACTAGCCACAAAAAGCTGTGGTACACAATGAGACCTTAACTTTTTCCTATGGTTCAGGGGCAGTGGTAGAACAAAAGAACCAAACTTTCTTAAACCATGTCCTCACCCATAACTGCAATAAGCATTTTATACTTATATGCCAACCCCGTACGAAGGACGGGTACTCTGCTAGTAAGGTAATAAATTAAAGGAATAACCAACATATAAGTACAGCTGAGCTATTTTCAACATTAGAAAGTTCCCTTTAGAAAGGAATTACGACCTTCAAGGGTAATTTATTAAATAATGGATAGTTTTGCGCAAGGTTTCTCGTCATGACGAACGTTTTAAATATATAGTTTATCACGATTACTATAAAAATGTCGGTATGGATCATAAACATAAACAAATGACGTTTTTGGCCCGAAAATAAACATGATTTAATATTGCTTAAATGGAACTGCCAAAACATATGTTCAATGATATTAGTATAGGATTCGGGCCAACAACGTCATTTGTTTATGTTTATGATCCATACCGGTATTTTTCTAGTAATCGTGTAGTTTTATGGGGGTGTGAGAGATCGATGGGTGTGACTTGTGTTCTCAAAAGTTCATGGGTACTTTGGGATTTATATATGGATTGTGTTTGCTCAATATCTAAACAAAATATAAATTTGAACGTTGTGTAGTCTACTATTTATATGCTCATGGGATTAAATGTTGTTTTTAAAGATTATACATATTTAGACTAATTCTTATAATAGTATATACTGTATTATAACTATTTTTCACCACACTACTACTTTTCACAATAATAACTAATGCACACTGATAGTCAACGCAACTTGAAGGTTATGTGAAGAAGTAATTTCAGGAATCAGCAAAAATAATAATAAACAGTTGCTAGGAAACGGTGAAAATAAAACAATTCTATTGCAATGCTATGGATACTGTTTGTGTATTTAATATGCAAATGGGCAGCTGATTTTGCGGCCCTAGGGATGTAAAAACCTGCTCGGTCCCCAAATGACGATGACAGCTGGCATGGTCAGCAATACGTAACTTCCAGCCTCTAATTAACGTATGTAAAACAGCTAATAACATCATAGTGTGATGAAAAACAATTTACTGCCCAAAACATAGTCAATATTTTTTATGAATTACATTAATTCTATCAAAATTTATAGGTTTAGAAGTTTAGGATATAGTTCTTTGTAATTATGTATGTTTTATGAAAATTATTACGTAATCCTGAATTCTAAGATTTTGTCGATATAATGCCACTAACTAATCAAGACACATTGACTTAAGACTGCAATAACACTGGTAAGACTAAAATAGCAATAAAATATCAAGCGGAGGATGAAAAATGACAAGAGATTCGCGGTAAATGAAAATAAAGCTTGAGTCTGATTTACTGTTTCTATAATGTATAAGCTTTCAAGACTCTAGCGGCACATTTAACTTAGTTTCCAGAGACTTTTAAGACTGAACTTTGGTGTTCATTTTTAACTGGATGACATTTGTTGTAAGTGGCGTTCACTGCAATGACCTTACAGTCCCATGTTTTGCTAGTTGTTACTTTATTGGTAAAGTTCTTAAAATATTCTTAAAGTCCGAGGTATAAATGTGGTTAAGTATTTTCCTAAGTAAGCCGGTTCTTGTTATATTTTATTAACAGCACAATTATAATGCACAAATTTTAGTATTTACTGTATTTAAATCATATTTCATATCAAACACGATTTATTTTATTGTAAGTACTACTACGTATCATATTCGTGTGAATACAGTATTACAAAAAATAACATACATTACATCATGAACGTATACATTACATATACAGATATAGTTATATAGGCTACATATACATTAAAACATTATGTTTAGGTCAAAATAAAACTAATATAAAGAAACAACTTTTTTTTAATGTCTCGTTTGCGCATAATAGGGCTAAGTGGGCTAAGCTAGTGTGGTTGCATCTTTTTGAGCCTTAGGTATAAACAATTGTTTTACATTAATTATTTGTTATTTAATCTTTTTGACCTTAATGTCGTTCGATAAGTAATTTTAAATGCTAAATGGAAGTTAGTATATTTGAAGAAAATTAGCCATTTTTAGTCATCCCAATTAGAATAATAATTAAAATATCCCTCATTTTGAAATATACAATTTTTTTATGAAGTATACGAAAGTGGAAGTTTTTTTATGAAAACGAGTACACAGTTTTGAAAGAGGCGACTTAACCCTGGATTAGGGTGTCATTTTCGGCTCGAAAGTGTGTTGGGGGGAGGACCAATATAACGGAGGTTAAGTCTGCCGCATAATAGAATGGCTTCCTAATCCTACACGTCATTTCAGACTCCGTAACATAACTTGACGTTTATAGTTTACGATAAAAAGTGTATAAACAACGGTAGACCTGACTATTTGTAGGCATTTGCAGTATATATGCTTGGTCCTAATTTTTTTACCTCTTTATTCCTCCTCCTATCTTTTCTTTTGTATTTTTTATAGTAACAATTTATTTCTGTAATATTCTTATAAATTACTATATTCCATTTTACTTAATACGTGTTAAGGGGAAATATAACACTTTTATTCAAAATGGTTCCATTAAAAAATTAACTGGTTTAAAGCTGAATAAATTACTCTTATGAATTAAAATGCTACTGAAAAATAATTTTCCTATAAAAACACCATGATAAGTAATTTACTTGGTTAATATCATACTCATGTCTCATATGACTCATTGATGTCGTTTTGATAATCAGTTATTCTGACATTAACTGCTTTGGGCGGTTATGCTACAAACTGATACCTTAGTGTGATGGCCGTGAACTAAATCAGTCAAAATGTAACCGTTCTTGTTCTATTATAGGTTTATCTATGATTGATGGGTAGGAATTGTCTATAAAAGTAATTGAATCTAAACACAGACTTTTTTGTTCTAGACATGAAGAATCTGACAAATGGAATTGTTTCGTGCAGCAACAAGCTCAAGTCATCCAAATAAAAGGTAGGTTAGAAAATGCCAATATAAAAGTTTCATAAAAAGGGAAGGGGGGGGGGCGTTTCATATAAAGGGTATATTTGTTTAATAATGGGTCTACTATTGTCAAAAGAAGTATTGGTATTCAATTTATATATCGTAGCTTATATACTTTATGACCTTTCCGTGAGTATTTTACCCACCCGTTAAGATGGCCTTTAACTACTACCGAGATCGTTTATAGTCTAATAAATTTGCGGTTAGAAAAACATCTTTTTATAACGGTATGGATATGAATTGTTGCCTTCTACGGTTTATTTATTAGTTGTACAGACATTACTTAAATGTTTGCATTATTTATTTACACGTACTGTTATTGTTTACGTTCTAATACAATTCATAAGTGGTAAAGATATTTAAGTATTTAATGAACTTAATTTTTGCATACTTTGAACATTCGTAAACGGAAATATTATTTTCCCACTGGAATATTAATTAAAATAATTGATAGTAAATAGTAACATAACATTTAGCCTTATTTAATGTATTTGTGTTGACAATTATCAATTGTTGAGGTAGGGACGTCATCTAGTATTTAAACCCAAATATGAGTAAAGGTTGAGTGTAGAATTAAGTGTGATGATCCGTATAGCTTTGTTACTGACTAAGATCAGCTGTTTTATTAACCAGCATCATTTATTTAAATTCCAACTCTAGTCTTTATTTTTGTCATTTATTTAAAGGAACAGCTGGGTCCAGTTTCGAATCATCAAAAAGTTACTGACCTTTTTTTCAGGACCGATTGCTAGGCGAGCACTATAACCAGTTGGCTACCCATCTATTTGAAATTATTTTTATATATTTACCACTAAGACCTGTAAAAATTAATACTTAATACAGTGACGTTTTAATTTAACTAATATACCAATCATAGTTTTACAGTCAAATTCATTAAGTTTATAATTTAACCTACATGTAGGCCCATATTATTCAAAACACAACATGGAATAACACAGATGAAAAGCCTAACCCCTGACATGAAGATCTCAAAGCTGAAAATCTCCACAGAATCCTCTTTTATTCAACTCTTAAATCCAGATGTAATCATTGCTTGCAGTTTTACGTTTCTCATGAAAAATAATCAAAAAACAAATCATAATCTAATATCGGGATTAAGTTATTGCCTTTTTTAATAATTCCCATTTATTTATTGATTACCTGTTGTATAAAAAGCTGTTACACTTATTGTTTGTATTTAATTAATTATAAATACTCAATTATAGAGAGTTCAAGTTAAACAGTTTTACAATGCTATAAATATTACAATTAACCACCTCAGTTATTATCAAATTATTTCAAAACTTAACTAAATTGATCACAAACCCTGCTTTAAAAGATTTTAATTAATCAATACTATGTTGAACTAAAACGTTTTGTTTCAAAGCCTTATTAGACCTTGTTATACTACATTTATAAGAAGTTCATTAGACTCAACAAAGATCGTAGATTAAAGGTTAATCCAATATTACATCGCCTAGAAAAAATCTACGTACAATTAATTATTGAACTTATTTGTTTGCTAAGAAATGTCTATCTTAATACCAGTTTAATACTTATCCGCATATTGATATGTCTGCTCTAATCAAAGTATTCTCATAGGTCACTGTGAATAGAATAACACGAGAAAATGTTATTCAAAATAATATTAAAACTACAAATCGTATTAAGCTGCAACTTATATTAGTGCTAGTTATACGCTTTCGTTTTTTTTTTTTTTTTTTTAGTTATACGTGTACACGTATACATATTTTAGATTGAAAATTAAGTTATTTCACTTCATATTTATTTATGGCCGTTTTCCAGGGTAAGGGGTGCACTTTCTTAGTCATAAGCCACATTTAAAACCGCGAGTTTGCTAAGTAAAAGGCGATCTTTGATGGTTTAAAATTAGGTTTGGTGTGGTTCCAGGACCTGTGGATCGATTATTGTATTGACTTTTCCAAATATTTAGGAAACTAGATCTGTAGAAAACAACATAAACGTTAAACTACAAAACATTCTATTTGAGCTTGTGAAAACATATTTCAAGTCTTATTTGCAGTAAACTCCCAATAGGAGTAAACCTCATAAGTAACTATGCAACAATGCATATATCAGCTGATTGACGATCAAGTAAAGAAAACGGGGAGACCAACATATAAGCTTGTTCCGTCATTAAAAAGTGTCTCCCGGTTCTTTACATTTGTGTTGCGTTAAAAACTAATCATGTAGAATATTCCTTTTCTGGGAGCGAAAACTATAAATTCTATTGTAAATTGTTTATACGTGTAAGACTTTTTTAGAGTAAGCATCAGGATTTATTTTCAAGTAATAGATTATTTAATGTTGGATCTCTGAATATTTTAATGCAATAATTTTTCTACTTACATTGTTTGCGATATTTATTACACTCATGAAATTGCAATCGTAAGTTTTAGTTTTATTTGTGTTTAATAGTTACGCATTGAATAATAAACTACAGCAAACATTGTACAATCCAGTTTAAAGAGCTTCAATTTCCTCGTATTGTGAAGGTGTATTTGATCCGCCCGAGCTAAACTGTCGTTAAAGGTTAAAAGGTCGCATTTTACGTCATAAAACATAACTTCGTGACCTTTATAGAGATTACGTCCTGTAAAAGATGGCGCATAAGTGGAGAAATTCGTGTGTATGTGCTTTTGCGACCGTATTATTTTGATAAAATATTCTAACAAGGAATTCGTCGTAGCATAAGAAAACTCTTTTGGTAACTATCATTTTGATTTGGCAGTCTATTCTTACTGGCTAGCTTTTGGGATATTTTTTACTAGATACGATATCCATCAAGTAATAACTGTTCCTAATATTTTAGATGAAAAGGTCTAAGATATATTATGACTCGCGATGTGTATTACTGTCAAATACTTAAAGTAATAGATGATCTCTCGAACGTCAAGACATGGGTCGAGTGCCAACTCCTCAACGATCCTGTTCAAGGCCTTAGTTCGTCAGCTGCTCGAGTACGCCTCTGTGGTCTGGTCGCCATACCTCCTCGGCCAAATCAACCATCTTGAATCAGTCCAGAGACGCTTCGTGAGACATATAGGTTGCCGCGCTGGGTTCAATTTCATGGACGTCCCAGTCGAGGCAATATCTGCAGCTTATGGTCTCCAAAGCTTGGAGTGTAGAAGAAGAGTTGCTGATGTTGCCTTCCTCTTCAAGCTGCTAAACAACCAGATCAGCAGCCCTTTTCTGCTCGAGAGGATCAATCTGCACGTTCCCAGAAGTACCAGGCATCAACGCTTGTTTGAGCTTGACCATGCTTCGACCTACGCTTCTGCCCCATACCACGTCTGATGCGCTCCGGGAACGAAATATGTTCGTCGGTCGACTTTTTCGCTTCCAGTTTGGTGGCTGTTAGGCGAGTGGCAGCAGAGTAACGAGTCGACCAATAATAATTTCACTTGTTTTTGCTGTTATCGATATATATTGCATGTTAACTCAAATCATTAGTATTGTTGTTAATTAATTATTTATTATTGTTGCTCATTTCTTATTTATTATTGTTGCTCATTTCTTATTTATTATTGTTACGCATTTCATTGTCTATTATTGTTATCAATTTCGTTTTTACTATTGTTAATCTAGTCATAAGCACAAACATTCACTGTTGAAGCAGTCAAACTACTGGTTATCTTTGTAAATTGGTGTATTGCCGTTGGTAAATAAAATAGAGATTTTGCCTGTAATGTTACCGTCGAAGTTGTATTTTCTCTTGGATTTTTAGGCCTCCAATTATTTGCATATTAGAAAACTAAAGCTTGCGCTATTTCGTGTTCTCAGTTTGGAATTATTATGAAGTTATTACAAAACATAAGAATAATATTTAGTAGCAGCATAATTTGCCAAGGTTTCGTTATCCTACGTTAATTTTCGTTCTACAATTGGCAGTAATTTAAAAATTAAATGATCCTTTGCTCTATTAGATATATATTCTAATTCAACAAGAATTCAATTTAAACTTCAAATTCCGTAGTAAACTTCAAATAAAGCAAAAAAAAAAACTAAATCAGTTTGAACAATGTTTTGTTTAAAATATAGTATACGTTTTAGTTTTGCAAAAAGAAATGCCATACCATTTCCCCTGTGGAAGATAGATACCTAATTGAATTTAACTAGGTACATAATTTAATTTTACTACTATCTAAACTTTACCATAAATTTTATAACTTAAATGTAATAAATAACTTCACAGTTAACGTTCCCCGCGGCTACGATCGACTCTGCTTGTCAGAATAAACTGCGCTAGGTTCTGAGTCTACATCTCTTTAATTATTCTCTTCAGGTTAAACAGTTGCTTCCACTCCCATCTTTCAATACCTCAGGCCAATTATTTCTACCCACCACAGAAAAGTTTTTAACTGTGTGCTAAAATAAATTACGGATGGTTAAGTAGGCTAGGTAAACATTACAATTGATGATGAGTAAATAGCCATAGTGTAAAATTGGTTTTAAATGTTTTAAATGGTTTTAAACGTAGCGAAGCACGGGCAGAGCAACTAGTTATACATTGAATAGCAAACGTCAATCAATACAATCAATATAAAAAATACAATAAATAAGATAAAATATAATCACTGTAGAAACTAAGGTCGGAAATTGGTTCTTTTATTTATAAAATCAATATATATATATATATATATAGTATGTAAAACAGTAAATGAATAAACTATTGATTAATAACAATAAATAAACTCCTATCAAAAAGTAATAACAGCAATTATTTTAATAAACAATGACTAGAAACGAACTAAACCCCTCAGGAAGAAAATTTTGTAATCAATTCAACTCCAACGGTATTTAGTGATCTCATCCACCTCGTAGAACACAAGATTCGTCAACTCTCTCTTCAGTCATGTTTTAAACAAATGAGAATTCTCCAGGCTTTTTAGTCTATCAGGAAGAGCGTTAAAGAACCTGACACCTACTTGAGAAGGGAGTTTCGCAAACGCAGCTGTGCGGCTCACCCCTTGCTTAGCTGGATACGTTCCATGCACGGGCAGTTAGTCTAAACGGGCAAATGCAAGGTTAAAAGAAGCCGCCAACCTCTAAAAAAAATAGTTTATTTCGATTGTAAAAGCAATATAAAGGAAACTCGCATTTTGTATACAACTGATTTTGGCTTTACTATTTTTTCTTTTATTATTTAGGTTTCGGTGGAATTTCAATTAATTATGATGTACATTTTCCTGAATACAGAGTTTAAAATAACTTAAAGTATGGTGAAAACCAGAGTTCGTTATCTCTTCTCTGTCCAAAATAGCCCGTCAAAGTTTAATGACGTTACTGATAGATTAATTTTATTGTGTAATAAAAAGTAATCTCCCTCCCTCTAATTTGTCCCTAAGTAAATATTACAGAGTTATCCATTTGGTGGTCATTTAACCTTAGCAGGAAGTTTCATATTGTGATTTTAAAATTCTTGAGTGTCCCCCAAAAAGGGGGATTTTGGGGACAACTCAAAAATTTTAAAAGTAAACCCCCTTCAAGTGACACCTCATTTTGAAGTGTTTACTAAAACTTAAAGAATAGTTAAAACTAGAGTTCGCTATCTCTCCTCTGTCCAAAATTGTAGGTTGTAGCCAATATTACAATTACGAACCAATATTACCATTGATTTTCCATAATATTTAACGGGTTACCATTTTGGATAGAGATTAAATAGCAAACTCTGGTTTTCACTATTCTTTAAGTCTTTGTAAACACTTTAAAATAAGGTGTCACTTTAAGGGGGTTTACATTTAAAAAAATTTGAGTTGCCCCCAAAATCCCCCCTTTTGGGGGGACATTTAAAAATTGCAAAATCATAAAATGAAACTTCCTTCTAACCACGACCACCAAAAGGATATCTCTGTATTTTTACTTAGAAAAATATTAGAGAGGGGGGTCTTGACTTTTTATTCACCCTGTATATACAAAATAATATATACAGACATACAGACAGACAGACAGACATAGCTCGTATTAGAATACATGATAGGATAGGATAGATGGCCGTTAAATATCAAATAGTCTTTGCCCGTTACTGTTAAAGCAAGATAGGAAGTATCTGCAAGTGGTCTGCCATGGAACGCGATTGAGTATTGTGATCAATCAAACCAAATCGGAAACCAATTTCGAAGATTAATGTAGAACCCGATATCTACAAATCCGCCGCTCTTCAGGTGCCACCGTTATATCGCTTTTGATAACTTGCATTGGGATATTTATGTGAGATGTTCTGAGTGAAAAAACACGAACTGGAGGTATTATTTTATAAGGGTGGTAAATTATGAAATAGTAGTAATCAAAATACACTTAACGACAATGTAATGTGTGAGTCAATAGACATTCTGAAAAGCAAGTAATACTTGAGTATGAAAAAACAAAAACCCAAATTCAAGTATTTACAATTGTAAGCTCTATGGATTGCCAACTATAGTAGTTCTAAGAAGATTGGTTTCTTCGATCCTCGATTGCATTTTTCTTATCATGTTGGCTTACTTTATCGTATCAGGTTCTCATCCCAAAAGTCTCAAGGCAACTGGAAAATTGATTTCCAATATCTCATAGTAATACTGTATATATTTTAGTTTTTGTTTATATTACTTCTTCACAATGCTTCACCTAAATGTCTCCATATTTTTACGTGGACATTATTTCTACATACCGTGATGTTTAGCATACGAAATAATTAATAATTAGAACTAGAACACAAATAGAAAATTGAACACTGCTATAATGAATGAATCATGAATAGTATGGACTGATTATCTTCTGATGGCCTAAAAGCATAATTCGGTTATGGAATTTGAGTGCTATACAATAGATACAGATTTGTGCAGGGCTTATCGTAAACCGCTTTCAATAAATAAACACACATATTGAATCGTTTGAGTGACTTTAGCACAGCACAAGCTGCATGCTATTTGCTAAGTATTCTAGGTGCCAGAGTATTACATCCTCATCAATATACTATTTACAACGTTCAGATATTAATGATATATTTTAAATTTCAGATCCCCTGCTCTAAAATGACGCAACCTTAAGGATCAAAAAGGAATACACACACAGGTGAGTTAAGAATCAAATTGTACTACAACTGATCCTTAGAATAAACTACCGAGTATATCAATAATACTTTTAATGTTACATACCAAATTAAACCAACAAAATTAATTTGGTTTTTATGTTGCTATTTTTAGGTCAATGCTTTGCATGAATTTAAAAAAAAATTGGTTCAATGCATTGTTCTATAGCATGGTTAAATAAAATTAATCCTCACTTTCATTCTAATACAAAATAAAACACCCTTTAAATACCCCCAAAGAAAGTGTTCCCAGTTGGCAATACTGTTAAAAAAAGGCTAATTACTAAAAGGAAAATGTGTATTCTATATAGTAATTATCACAAAAACGAGAAAATATATACCATTTCATAATCTTGAACTATATTTTTAGAGTGATAATAGATTTTTTACATTAAAAGTTCGCAGAGATGTAATCAGATCACTTAATCAGCTTAAAACATTCCACTTATCTTGAAGCACATTTTTATTTTTATTTTTATGATGAAAAAATGTGATTGGCATCAGTCGAATGTACTTAAAATATTTCTTTGTAAAACTCTTCTGTTAAATATAATGGCAAATTGGCAATTAGTGTTTTAAGAGGATTTGTTTTAATTACATTCACTCTAAAGTTGAACGTCTCTTATTCCTCGAGTTCCTTGGAGCAATGGTCTCATTTCACCCTTCTTGAATCCATTGTTCTAGTTTCTCCAAGGATATCAATGCATTTCCAGACTCTATCTTGAAACCTGTGCAAATACCAGCAGGCAATCGTTGGTTTTCAAAACTAAAATTATTTTACTATTCACGAGAGCTCGCCCCGTGATCCAAAACTCGACCAAAAGTATGTATTGTGCAAACCTCTCTATTTTCACCCCACACTGTAAATAAAGCATGTGATTGGAATTTCTCCCATTTGTTTTGATTTTCTGTATACTGTATATTTTTATGTTATTTCGGCACCAAAATGGCAACCCATTAGGTCCATATTAATTTTTTTTTATTTTTAACTAATTTCTTGTGCTTATTTTTAACCTATTTTAATTTATAAAGGGATTCTGCACATCTACAGGAAAATATCTTTCATTTGGTACCAACAGCATGTAATTTGGTCCAATAGTATGGTCAGGCTAGCTGTGTACAGTGTTATTGTTACCAAAATGGCAACCCATTAGGTCCATATTAATTTTTTTATTTTAAACTCATTTCTTGTGCTTATTTTAAGCCTATTTTAATTTATAAAGGGATTCTGCACATCTACAGGAAAATATCTTTCATTTGGTACCAACAGCGAGTAATTTGGTCCAATAGTATGGTCAGGCTAGCTGTGTACAGTGTTATTGAATGATGGCTTAAATGTTTCCCCCTTTAAACTTATTCTGCATGTTAATTAACACATAACAAAGAAAATTCAATAAATATAACATAAAGTAACATCTTCAACCGATTTACCTAGTGTTTCGTAAGTTACTAAGTTACTCAGTTACTCTGGGAAAAAGTGTAATTCCGAAAGAAGTAACCAACTGTCATTTGTTTTATTCGATGTATAAAGAAGTAATTATTTATATTGCTGTGCAGTTAGTTTATTTTGAGGGTGGAATCTCTAAATAGACATATTTGGTTTTAAGCAAAAGAAACCCAACTAAAACCCCGAACATCCAGCTTTTCTTTGACGCAGTTGGTTTAGATCACCTATTTTCGCTATTATAAAGACGCTCATAACAGAGTGGATGCTGCTGATCTAATATTCCTACCACGTGTGTCCGTCTCAGGGTGCATGTCAGCATATTAAATACTGGCTCAGCTTTTGGGGTTGAGGTAAAGAATAGACGAATATTGATTTGACCAAAACTCATTTCATTGAAATCCAATACAGCAAAGAAGGAAACCATTTTTATTCTGACTCTCAAAAGAAGAATCTTGGATGAAAAGAACTTGCAATATAACTTTGATGATTTCATCATGCGTAAAAATATTTTGGTTTATAGTTACTATGCTATGAGGCCTAAAAACATAAATTAAATAATAGGCGGTTAAATTGCCTGGTTACTGTCAAAACGATCCTGCAGCTACAGCTGTTTTGTGGTGTCAAAAATGGAGCGCGTTTTCAGGTTCGAATGGTAAGAGGTATTTTTCTAGTAATCGTGGTAAGAGCTCACCCTGCTATTAGGTCGTATTTAAAATAATGTGTTCTTTTTCATCCAAAAAAGGTTGTGAACACATATGAAAGTTTTTTCGTTGTTTTGTTCGTCCTAACAAAACGCATGCAATAGAACCTTGCCTTAACTATCAATAGCATGCATAAAACCGACACAAATCAAATAATTTAATAAATAAAATGATATGTAACATGTAATTTTCCGTGTTTGACATGGATCTCGGATCATCTGACATCTGACATTTCCTGATGTATGAACTTTCATAACCTTGAAGTTACAGACACAATGTAATTTGTTTTATCCGCTTCAACTGAGCTATCACTCTTCTTTGTAGTTAAATTATGACGAAATTTCGGGTTGAGAGACAAAATTGAGATTTTATAGTACGTGATTGTCGTCTCACCTGAAATTAGGTCACACCTTAAATTTGTCCAGATAGCTTAGCCTACTATGAGATAGTCCAGGGCTCTAACGTGTTTGTTAATTAATTATCGTTTCGAGTTTATTGGCTCAGAATATTAATTACAACAATAATGCTTACAATGTTAAGCTTACCTTCAACAAGTGCTCATCATAGCCACTCGAAAAATATGTAAAGTTAAATTTAGAATTTTGAATAACCTATGATGAATGCGAATAACCTAATTAATTAGAAACTTAACTAATATAGAACGAGACTCGGTCGTTATACTTGGTAATCACCAAAGTAAACTTGTCGGGAAAATTAGACTCGGTCGATCACCAGAGTCGATACGGGGTTTTTAAACCAAATCTACGTAGGACGGTCCGGGGTAACGGGGTAAGTCGTACGTAAACCGTTCCGGCAACTTAACTGATTTCCGAAGCTGGTTTAAGACAAAAGGTAGTGTGCTCGTACGTGAAAAAGCGTGCGGGGTGCGCGCGACTGCGGCACAGTAAAATAAAAATAATAAAACTTCTCTAAAAATGAGATTAAACAAAATAAATTCGGTAGCACACTAACCTGATGACTTATGATTCTACCAGGAACGGGGGAAATCTTTAATTGACCAGAATTTAGGAGGTTATAGACTGTTGGATTGTCTCCAAACAGCAAGCGTACTGACGGTTCGGTAGCGGGTGGACGACTGACCGTGAGGTCTGCTCTTCTGGTCCTTCTTCGCCATCGCCCCTGGCGGCGGGGTAGGTAACTAGCTTCATCCCCTCTACGATGACGTAGGACCCTTGCCCCTACGATGCCGCTGACAACGCGGGAGCGGCTTACCCCGAACTTAGAAAATTATAATACTTAAGATGAAACTTTTTAAAATCGGGTTTTTACCCCTTGACGGGTTTTGGGTCGTTACAAAATATTCATGCGCGGATAATATGTCAGCATGGCGGATGTGACATGCGATACAGAGTTATCTGTTGTCACCACTGAGCTATAATTCTAACTGGAGGTAGCACTGAATGTCAAAGATGCGTGTCGCCAGCCGCCATGTTTGCGTGAGTCTGGTGTCATAAGAAGCCATATTATTGCTATAACTATTATTATACTTGGCTTAAAATACCTACTTTGTATGGTCGCCATTTCAAAGAAAATTATTAAAGTATTAAAAGTATTCAAGTATGACAAAAATACTCACTGCTATACCAACCTAGTTATAAGAAGCCATGTTATTGCTATGATAAGAAAACTTACTGCTATACCAACCTAACAAAATCAGCGACACGCTTTTGACAGACTTCTGCCATGGCAGTGCTACCTCCAGTTATAATTTTAGCTCAGTGGTTGTCACACTTCCACTGCCTTTGTTGTTAGTAGTTCAGTAGTCTTTGGCCATGGAGTAAACAATGCAGACATGGAGGTATGTTGATTGGCAGGGTTGTTAAAGTATGTATTGAACACAATTGCATACAAATAAGTATTCTTTATTGAGATGGCTTTTTAATACCTTAGAATGTAATGGTGCCTAAGATCTTTTTAATGTGATTAAATAAACACAGTGCCTAACTCAAATTTTGTTACTGCATAGATTCTTACTAGAAGCTATGCAAATACTTCAATTAGTAAGAGCATTTAAGGTTTCTTAAAAATAAGCATCAATATAAGGCTGGCTACACCCACGTGATTTTGTTGCATGCAATTAGATTTTACTTATTAATCCATCTTCACAGGGGATTTAGTAAAGCCAATTTGATCCAAGCCTATTCCAAAGGTCCTTAAGTAACTTACAGCGGCTTAAACTGTTCCTTGAACCTGGATTATAGCTAATCATCCTTTTAGCTATCTGCTTCCACATTAACCTAAGTTATGTTCACTAACACCCTCTTTACTTTGGCCGAACTTTGGAGTATACTGTTATCCACATAAGATTTTTTTTATTCTGTAGGTTCTAGCCCAATTTTTTTCTACATTACTCCAGCCTAGGTCTAAGGGGTCAAAATATAAAATAAACAAAATAAAAAGATAAAATCTATTTGTGATTGGCGGGATCGGTCCCGCGCTCTACCACTAGACCATCTTGCTCCCCATTTGCACTCTTTAGATAGAAGATACTTCAATTAGAAAACTTGTAAAAAAAGTAGGCCTACACTAATTAATGTTGGACTGTACTTAAGTTATTGCAATGGCATGCTTTAAATGTAGAGTTTATGTTCGTATCAGAAAACTACTACTCAACACTAATTAAATTAATTAAATTTTGTCTATACTTTTTCAAATAATAATTAATTTTGTATAAGATTAAATTGTCTCCTCAGCAGGATGAAAAATATTGTTCGTAAACAACCGGACCAACTGCCAGAGAAAAAAAGCAATTGTAATAAAAAGGCGAAACCCCTTGCGATAATATCTGAGAGAGGCGATGTTTTTAACCAGAGAT